AGGACCTGGCAAACAAGTACAACTGTCATGTTTCGACCATCGCCAGGTCCTTGTACTCGCGAAGTTGCAGGATGTCGGTCACGGTAGCATGAAGGGTCACTTTTGCAAGTAGGAAGAAGGGTAGAGTTGGAAGAAAGAAGGCGTTCACTGCAATGGAATTCAAGGCGACACTTTTACAAGCACCTTATGCTCAACGCACTACGCTTAGATCCATCTCGGAAAGAACAGGAATGCTATTGTAGTCATGCATAAAAATCTCACTTGACGGTAAGACTAAGTCTTGGGTCGTTGCATCAATACGTCGAGCTTGGAATGTTTCGGTCCCACTAGAACGCCATACGGCCGTACCTCACCGACGCCAATAAGTATGGACGTATGCAGTTTGCGTTGGATTTTGTTGGTTCCAGCATGGAGATCAACAGTATGCTTCAGTACGTCCACTTGGACGAGAAGTTGTCTACGTTACTACCTCGTGACTGGAGAACAAGAGCCAAAGCAAGTGTGCAAGTACATAGTACATTACGACAGTGATGTTTCTCTGTTCCGTGGCCCGATTACGAGATGTCCATACCGCTGGGAAGCGGTGGGACGGCAAGATTGGCATATAGCCGTTTGTTGCCACAGTCGAAGCGCAGAATGACAGCATAAACCGTTCTGCTGGCACCTTTGATATCAAGTCAAACAACTTCACCAAGGATGTGTTCCGTACCTTCTTGCTCGAAATGGATTGCCCTCCAGCGTTGCAATGTGGCCGTGCGAGGAACGCATCATCAAGTTGCAAGATGACAAAAATCCGCACGTGACTCCAAACGATCCGCAGAACGTGTCGCGCCCGCGCGAAGTGTTTGAGGCAGCGGGGTCCAAGCAGGATGGCGTGGCGTCCGCCGTTCTTGAACGCGCACTGGCTGTCGAGTTGGTGGAGACCCAGTCGATCAATGAGCTGGTCCAGGAGCTCGAGGCCATTGTTTTATGCGACGAGGAGTCAGACGACATCATTGATGTAATGCGAGAAGTATTAATTGAGTCAATTAGTGTGGTAGAACGACAGGTAAACACGAACCGATGTGTGTTGGTCTTGTGGATGGTCTTTGTGCTCGTTAGGAAGGTTCCTCAGGTCAACCCCCTCCTGAGTCGAATGGCAATGAAGCGCGAGCTGTCCCTCCCAACTGAAGTTGA